GAATGTTTTGTCGTAGATTTTAAGTGCTTTCTGAAATAGAAATGTTAAGTGAAAACCACTGAAGGTTTAATTAAGAATTGATTCAAATCTCACCAAAATTCTACACGTCAGTCAGAAAAGTTTCAAAGGGATGAATGACTTGGAGATTAATAAGTATAATTCCTATTAACATAAAATGTCTATTATGAGCATAAAATTTTAAATTCAAAAGAGATTACATAGTTAAACCTAATGTAAAAAAATTAAAGCTTGTCTGTTTGGCTGATCATGTTATCCATCAGAGTCTATCCATTCACATGTTATTCTTTCTTCAGATCTATTACTGATGAATTGTCAAGCCATAGATATCACAGTCAGTTTTTATTAGACAGTTAAATTTTATTAAGCTTAATTGCATGAAGATGAGCTTCATACAGGCTTTGTAAAGAGAGAAATCAATGTAGTCCAATGGGAAGAGCAGCTGATACTTTTTATGTACTAATTTTTATAAAAAGTTTGAGTATATTTTTGAGGGAAAAGGAAGGAAGCATTTCACAGGATAAAGAGTTGTTGAAATAATATACACAGCTCTTTATGTCATCTGCTGAAAGGAGAGACACAAACTATTGTGATATATTGCAATGTTTTCTGCATACAGTTATTTCTGGGTATCTTTCTGTGATTGTATCTGAGAGCACTATGTATCTCTTATCCAAGTTAGCAACATTTTTGCTTTTGCATCTCTATAATTTATTTTGCACCTCTTGTTCTTTAAAATCTGTACATTTTTTTTTCAGCCTTTCTCTTTAATGTTTCACAATCTAATGGATTTTTGAAATTGCAGGTTCTCTTATTTCCCTGGTACCTATGTCTGTTCCTCATCATTTGTATTCACCAGTTGTTCTACATTTTGTTACTCCAAATTTCCCTCATGTAAATGATGCTGAAAGCAATATCGATTAAATTTGTACTGGATAAAGTTAATCAGTGAACTTTACTGAACTAAGTCATTAAACAATGAAATGGACTTTCAGAGGATACACCCTGACAGTTTTGCCAGATAAAGCAGAAATATTTCAATTCTATATCAACCAAGACAACAGTTTGGACAGAGTGAGATTTTCTATAATTTTCTATGGATTTCATGATGCTGTTGGGTTATTTTTTTCTATTAAACAACAAAATTAAAGGTAAAATTCCAAAGCAACTAAAGGATTAAATTATACAACTAACTGCGAAAGACATGTTAAGCTGATTGTATTGTAAGAGACTTTGGAAAAAAAGAGGCATTTCTGGTTATCTGAGGAGACCAGTGTAACAGTGCTGTATCTAAGGGTAATAACACTGAGGTCACAGTCAAAAGTTTGAGATATGCAATCGAAAATCAGACCACAGGCAGTATAAAGGACAGAAGTGATGAACAGTATCAGAATTGAAAAGGGTAGAGTTAGAAGAAGAACAGTTTTGTGTGATAAATTTAAAAAAAACCTAAATCCTGTAGAACTAATCTGAAAAATCAACTCTACATACAGAGGATAAGTCCATATTTATGCAGCCTGTATCTGAATTGTTATAAAGAATTGAGTTACTTCCTTTCCAGAGGAGGTCTGTTCCATATTGCAGCGGGGTTCATTGCTGTGGACATTGTGCCTACTGGATAACGAGCTGAAGGAGGAAAAAAGCTCAACACACCCATCTGTGTGTCTGGGAAGAGGAATTATTTTTATGTGAAATCATTGACTTCACATAATCACTGTGATTCACAGTCCTTCCTCTCAGATCTTTGGGGTTTGTTGCCTGTGCACTCCTCAGTGGATGAATACAAGTTGCTCTTTCCTTTGGGTCATTTTTTTTCAGTACCATGTTGTTCATGATGATTCAACTTGCTGTTTCATTTCCTGGGGCCAGGCACCCAAGACAGCTGCAAGTTTTCAGAAATCTCCTTTTGCTCCTCTACCATTGATGGGAACTGAAAATTACATCTTTTCCCTGATGAGTCATTGATTCTTCACTGCCAAGAGTCTGCCAAAAAGATACAAGGTTGTTTCGGTTTATTTGTGATGAACGCATTAACAAAAAAAAAAAAATCAGATGAAATAGAGAAATCCTTCTCTGCTCTTGATCTGTTCATTCCCCATCCCAGGGAGTGCCCCAATTCAGGTGCAGCACCTTGCACTTGGTCTTATTAAACTTGATGGGATTCGCATCCACCCACTTCTCCAGCTTGTCCAGGTCCCTCAGGATGGCATCCCACCCTTCAAGTGTGTCATCTGCACCACTCACCTTGGTGTCATCTGCAAGCTTGATGAGGGTGCACTCGATCCCTTCATCTGTGTCATTAATGAAGATATTAATTAGCGTTGGTCCCACTATGGACCCCTGAGGGCACCACTTGTCACTGATCATCATCACTGACCAAACTGTTTGTTTGATTTTTCTTGCTTTGTTTGTTTATTTGTGGTGGGTTTTTTACCATTTTAAAGATGGGTACAATATTTCTCTTTTTGCCAGTCAGCTGGGACTTCACCTGACTGCCATGGCTTTCCAAATATCATGGACAGTGGCTTAGAAATTACATCAGCCAATTCCCTCAGGACTTTGGGAGGCATCTCACTGGGTCACGTAGACTTGTGTATATTCATGTTCCTCAGGTGATCATGAATCTCAGCTGTAACTACCAAATATTTTGCACAGCTAATGGTCAAGTAAAGAAAAATGTTTCTCATCTGCTCCTAAATCCCCAAGTTTTGTGTTAATTTTTTTCCTACCTGCTCCCACCTCTCCCTCTCCTCCTGCCCCAGTCTGAAACACAGTGTTTAAGATAATGCTGAAATACAAAACTTATAATGTGATTTAACGCTGGAGAACACTCGTAGCTGACAAAGGCTGGATTTTAGCAAGAGCATATCTACTGATCAATCTAATATTTATATGATATTTTTTCCTAATGTAATAGTTAATGCAGAACTGAGTGAAATCATATGCAAGTAGCTGAAACTCGGGTTGGATGCTATCATAATACATTATATATATATTCTATAATTATATATATACTGTATGTACCATACTTTATCTAGATATTCGTTTGTCCTGACAAAGTACACGTGAGAAATAAATTCAATCCTTATTTTGAAGAATAAAAGCTTAACTTCTAATATTTCAGGAAGTAACAGTCAGAGGTGGAGTGATCTTTGGGGTGCAGGTCTTTTGAGTTACTGGATACTTGCCTTTGCTGTATACAAAAAATTTGCATTGGTTGGAATGTTTATTAATATCTGAAATAACAAGACATGTCAGCAGAAGGGTGAAAAGAGCTGACTAAGTGAATATCATTCTCTTGAAAACAGATTATATTGAAATTTACCCTGGCACTACATTAATAAGCTGATGGTAAAAACGAAACAGCTTGGAATCAGAGTGCTACAGGTGACTGTAACACGCAAAGTGTTGGTTACTAAATCATTCTCTTGCATAATGAACATTTTAAAAAAGCACCTCCATGTGCTGAAACAATAAATATTCATTTTAAGCCCAGGTGGATATGTTGACAGTGGCATTTCATTCTGCAGCAAGGTGTCAACTGGCATAACCTAATATTCAGAGAACAAATCTGATACGTGTATAATTTCACAGTGGAGTGAGGGACAGTGCCAACATCCTTAAAGACCCATGTGTTAAATTCTGACAATTCTAGGTACCTAGATATGGATGAAGTGTCCTTGCATTTTAAATCTTCTCTGACTTCAGCGGAATTTTTCTGATTAGGCCTTCTAATGTCTGGTTCAATTGCTTTCCATCTTACATTTTTTCTTAATTAGACAAAAAAAATCTCATTCTTTAATCAGAGGAGTGTGCTTGTATTCATCAGGACAAAATTTCTGTATTTGTGCTTGTATGTTTTGTAACTGATGTGTTGTCAAATATGAAAGAAAAGGTGAAAATATTTATTTTTTTAAATTAATCTGACATTAACTTTGGAAAATACATTATGCTGTCTATTTTTAAAATGGATAGTACTGATATTAGCAAATTTAATTTGCTTTTCTGAGTTTCTTTGCCAAAGTGTGTATTCAAAATCCATTAGCGTTAAGATTCCTGCTTAACTTCGAGGTCTTGATCTCATGATAAAATACTAATGGTTTGCTGCAAATCTCAGATTCTTCCCCACCCCACCCCCCTTTTTAGAAGCAGAGGTACTGCAAGAAGGAAAAAAATAAAATGAAGTTGTAACATGAATAGATGTTTCAATCCACTGATTGATCTTCCTCAAAACAACAATTTTAATGAAAAGATATGTTGCTTTAGCATTAACTGTAACGTTTGCCTTATTTTTCCTGAAAAGAATGTGAGAGTTTAGTCTGTATTTCATTCAGTGTAAAGCAATATGAATTGGATTTATTTCATTGTGGATCTTATAAAAAATCTTTAAAATATACGATTCCATTCCAAGTAGAAATTACCACTTTGAAAAGGATAGAATATTTTGACTTGTTCATTAGTTAATCAGTAGTTTTGATTCCCTTGAGCATATTTGTCAATTCTGAGTTTATACTGTAAAGAGGTTTAAGTGAGAAGGAATTATGGAATGAATTAAACTTCAGAAAGTTAAAATAGACCTGAATTGTTCTCCCTTCAGGTTACTGGATGTCTCAAAACTTCATACTTCCAAAGTTCTTCTGTGTTTCCTGCATGGTGTATCTTTTAAAGCAGGAAAAGTCTCACACTGTGTGCCATCACTCATGCTAAATCCATCCTTTCTGTCTCCTGCTCATCACAGACAATGCATCATTTACAGTGTTTGATGATTTGCACCCTCAGAAGCAGCACATCATTTTGACATATAAAGCACCAATTTATCCACGTTAGGAGAAATCAAGTTATGCAAGTGAGCAGTGGGACACAGTCTGATTTGAAATCCATAAAGGGTGCTGGAATTAATTCAATTTGGGTGAGCTGAGACTGTTTTCAGATGCGTTGACTAATGCTTTGAGATGATGTCATGCTTTTATTTTCTGTGTTAGACAGGGCTATGAAGAACTGGAAAGACAGCTGAAAGAAGTCTTTAAGGAAAGGAGCAACGTACTTCACCAGCTGTTAAAGACTTCTAAAGAACTTCAGGGAATTAAAGTAAACCTTCAGGTTAGGTTCTATCTCAGTTTTTATAGAATTACTTACCTCAATACTTTCTTACTGGTGTCTATTAATTGCAAAAAACATGTGTTTCAGGTTTGTTTGTTTGTTTGTTTTTAAATATTAAATATGTGAATAGTTATTATTTTGTTGATTTTGTACTTAACATAAACACAGTGTTTCCATGGAAAATTTTATCCTAATGAGTTGGGTCCTCCCTTTGTCTACTCATCTCACACATTTTTATCTCCATGTTTATGGAAGCTAAATGGGAAAAATAAAAGGAGGAGAAGCTCACAGGAGAATACTAGTGCTGTGTATCAGTACTGTGCTGTATTATATTATTAAGTTACACTGCCTTATATTTCAGGCTTCTCTGGTTTTAATTAATGTGGGGGTTTTTGAGTGCTTTATCACTCTTTATTATTGTAGGGTTTTTCTTCTTACCTTTTAGGGAAATGTGCCTCCCTTTGAAGCAAAGTTCTTTTAGAATGCAGCACAGTTGAAGGTAGCATTCAGTAGAAATTATACTGTGAGATGTTTTATTCTCAGCACTGCAGACGTCCTAGGATAGGAGCAAAGAGCTGTAGTGTTATCTCCTGTATATACACACTGATCTTTTCCACAGAATTCTAATGCTTTTAGTCATTTTTCTGTTTCTAAATGCGCTTATTTGATTAACCCTCCTTAACTATTTGAAAAACAGCTGTGTGCACTTAACTGTGCTTGAGTTACAGTAAAAAAAGATCAGTCTATTCCTTCATTTTTCATAAGTGACAAATTATTAACAGGGGCCAAATTAATAATTTCACGGATGAATAATTAAAAATCTCTTTGGTAATAGAGTTTTTTCATTGCTACCAGTCTCTGAAAAACGATGAAGCATCAACCAAAAGCGACGTACAGAAGCTTCTCGAACTGGGGGCAAAGCAAAGGTAAGACCCTCACCTCCTTCCTTCTCTTCAAATTCCACCTTTACTTTCACTTTATAGATAAAAACTACTGTATTCCAGGGTCTGCTGATTGCAACAGTAAAAGAAAGGCAAATTTTTGAAAACTTTTTGAAAGAAATGATGGATTTGCTGATATTGAACATTCATTAGGAAAAGATACTAAAATGCTATACAAAGATATCTGATAAAGGAAGGTATTTGGATTTCTAAGGAAGATTTAGTCATTAAATTTTCCTTCAAAGATAAAATCAGACTTTTTAGGATATTAAATCATTAAAATGTCTTAATCTCTGAATTTAGAGATGATGATATATATATATTTATATAGATATACACTGGGTGAGGCAGAGAGCTAGGAGGAGAGAGAAATATTCACTTCAAATTATTCATTGAACACTTAAAAAGTAATGAGTATCCAGTGGCTGGGAATGCAGGTTTCCAATCTAGTCCTTAATCTCAGATTTCCTAGTGCTTCATTGCAAGTAAGTCTCATCATTCTGTGTCTCTTAATTATTGGAATTCTAAACAGCAAATAGCAACGTCAATACAATTTTTAATACCTTGAAAACACAACTAATGTGGTGACTGATTTTTGCTGAAAAAATAGCATATAATGAATGCATCTATACTTCGTATTTTTCCTTAATAAAAACATATAGCAAGAGGCTTTATTCATTTCATACTTCTTTCACTGTTAGAAATGCAATAATTAATTTCCATGGCCATCTTATTATCGATATTGTGTTTAACAGAGCTACCTATGAAATGGCATTGTTATAGAGAAACTGTGTGAGAAAATAACCTTCAAGTCTTCCATACACAACATTTAAGATCCACAATACAATACCAATAGGAGTTCTTAATTTTACTGTGATAGAGAAAGGTCAAATAAGGATCTTTCTGGTATTCCAGACAAATTTATTAAATGATAAAGGCAAGGCTTCAGCTAATGTCCTATTTAAGCACTCAGATGGCTTGGGTGAACCTTAAGGTGGACATCTCAGCTGTCCCTGGCACAGATTCCATCCTTCATCATTCATGGACATGGTTTTGTGGTGGTTTGGTTGTTGAGCAACTGTCTTTTATGAAACAGATGAATTGATTAAAATGGACTGTTTAGTAAATAGATCTTCATTGCAGATGGGAAAACTGAGTCTGGTAAGAGAAGATTTTACTTCACACTACAAGTAATCTCTCCCTTAAATCAACACTTACAGTCTCTCAAGGTCCACCCAAAAATACCTCTTGACTTTTGCTTCTCGGGGATCCAACCATGAGTATCTGCACAAAAGCAGCTCCCAGAGACAGAGACGAGATCAGTCCAACCTGCTGCTGAGCAACCCACCCTCTCCTTCAGAAAATAAAAGGCAATAATAATAAAATAAACAGGATAGTACAAGGAAATGCCTTGGAGCTACTGCTCTTGCCAGCTATTTACAGACTTACTGTATTTCACTTCCAGTGAAGTGTAGAAATTCAGTGTACAAAGGGGATGTTAAAAATGTATCAAGGAATCCTTCTGATTTTGCCAAGGAAGAGGCACAGTTTGTTTTCCAGGAGCCTCAGACTGTATTTCATCTGCAGTAAATCAAGAATGGTGAGCATAGTGTTAAATATTGAAACCAAAAATTCAAAATACAGCCTTAGTGTTAATCTTATGACCTTTCTTTGGACAAACATGAGCTGCATTTGGTGTAAGCACTGCTTTGATTGTGCTCTACAGTGATGGTACAGTTAAGTTTAGAGTGCTAGAATCCTCGGCTTGTGTAAGTAGATTTTCTTCTGCTGACTTCAGATTAGTTTTTTTTTTAAATTCCTTCTGTGTAAGTTCCTCGGTGCTTCCCAAGTTGCAAGTAAAACTTGGTCACTCACCATAATGCCCCAAGTTTTATTCTTTCTGTGCATCATCAGCACTTGGAAATCGTGGCATCTGTTTGTGCTGATGGAGTATTGGTTTCGTGCCGCTCAATCACTTTTTCAATTAAATCTACTCTGTACTAGCACTGCCAAAGTGGCTGCAAGTAGTAGGGTTGTCAGCTGGCAAGAATGATGATCCAGCAGCTAACAAGTTTTGTTCTTGTATAAACTACGTGGTTCCCCCTCCAACTTAGTTTTCACTGGGCTAAATTGTTACCTGTGTGGAAACCCAGTTTTGGGTTGATCTGTGCTGAAAGTTTACCCGTGCAAGCAACAGCCCTGAAAAAGCTGTGCAGCTGTTTTGAAATATGTTGCTCTGCTACTTTTGCCCCAGCTCCAAAATGTGGGTAGAAAATTCTTGCAATGTGGAGAAATTCTCTGCGTTGGTATTGCGAAGGGCGTTTTTGGTTTTAAATAAAGCCCAATCCAAGCAATTATCCTGTTTTGGTTTGGGAATTTTTTTTTTTTTTGCCAGAATCTTCTACTGAATTTTGTGTTACTTGTCTCTAAAAAGTGCAAAGTGAAGGTTGAATTTTATCAGAGCATGATTGGTTTATTTATTTTAAAGCAGGTATTAACTGGTACGATTCCATGTCAATGCATTTTGAGCAGCCCACTTTCCTCACTTTTTTGGTGCCAATCCTCTTTTTTTGCTGACAGATGTTTTGCACAGCAGGCCATTCAGCAGATATAAACAGTGGCCAATTTCAATCATAGCTAATTTTTGTCCTGTTCTCACACTACAGTTCGTGGGGTTGTTGTGATTTTTTTGGATGACTCAAAGTCTGCTACTCTGAATAATTAAAGGTGCCCTTTCTTGAATCTGAAGAATCGTTTCCTGGTGGACACTCCTGTTGAAATGTGTGGGTTTTTTGTGTTTTTAACAAACTAGGGAAGAAATGAAGTCTCTCCAGCAAGCCTTCCAAAAGCAGCTTCAAGAGGCAACTGAGAAAGCAGAGAAGCAGCAGGCTACCGTGAGTGATCCCCTGTCCTTCTCTCAATATTTTTTACTTTCTTCTGTTTGTGTGTTGTTTGTTTTTTTTTTTTAATCTTGCCTTTGGAATGTGTTATTAGCTCAAATAACTCTTTGTGTAAAGCAAGATAAATGGATTTCACATATGTGTTAGTACTCTGCCAGCTTCTGGAGAAAGGAGCTGAAAAAAAAATTTGTGTGTTCAAAATTGCTAAGATTCCCGCCTTCCCTGATTTCTGTGGGATTTAGGGAGGTTTATAAGTTTTTGAGGTCTGGTGGTCTGGAAACTTGGGCCTAAATCCTCTCCCCTAGTGAGGTTATCATTATGGACCCTGATATCTCACCCATACCAATGCACCCTGTCATGCGTCCACTGACTTCTTTGAACCACTACAGATTTTCAGCAACAAAATGGATAGCAGAGTGTCCAGTTTTGACCATAGTAAAAGTAATTATCAGTGTAGTATCAGTATTATCAAGATCAGTATCGGTATTATCAAGACCCATTTAGATTTCATACTTTCTTGAAATTCCGTTTCTAGATAAATTGTACAATTGTTTCAAATTTTTTTGTGTAGCAATGTAGTGTTTTGGAGCATAAATTGCTACATTTTGCTATTGCAGGGAAAAAAAAAAGAGTAGAATCATGTTTACTAAGGTGTTAAAAGGAAATTTTTCCTGTGTTGGTTAGTTATATTCCTATAACATGAACACCACTGAGCCTAAGTTGATTAGAAAATCCCCAAAGGTTCCTCCAAACCTTAGATGTTTTGTGATTTGAACTCTGTACTTGAAAACAAGCTGTTAGAAGGGTTTATAAATCTATTTTTGTTTCATATTGGATGATTTATTTACTAACATCCCACTATCTTCCAGATTCCCAAAGCAAGAGTTCCTCCAAGACAGTGGTTTAAAAGTAATTAATAAATTTAGCAAATACTTACAGTGATGTGATTTGTGAGAGTGCATGTTTTACATGCTACCTTCTAATTAGAAATAGCATAGATTTTGGACCAAACCCTTTTGCAAGTTTCTTTCAATTAATGTGATTTTTGAAAACACATTTTTTTAGCTTTGTTGCTCAAAGACCTGAAGTGTAAAGATACTGTTTTACCTCATCTTGTGTCCCACACATATAATTCATGGATTTTTGGTACTTGTAGTTTTTTCTAGAGAAAAAAAAAAAAAAAAGGGACTCTTTTCTTCTTGAGGGGTGGAGAGAAGTAATCTGAAAGCTCTATTGAGCTTGGACAGGGTAGTATATTTTGGGGGCCTTTCTCAATGGCTAGGGCATCATATATCCAGAAAAATAAATCTGCACTTAAGTTTTAAGATGGTTTTGCACTGAGGCAATCTATGTAAAACCAAAGAATCACTGAATGTTTAGGGGTTGGAATGGACCTTAAAGTTCACCTCGTCCCAACTGCCCTGGGCGTGGGCAGGGACACCTCCCACTAGACCAGGTTGCCCAAGGCCTTATCCAACCTGGCTTTGGAAACAGCTCTGAGGTCTGCCTGCAACCTTCACTTCTCCAGGCTGAACAGCCCCAGCTTTCTCAGCCTGTCTTCAAAAGAGAGGTGCTCCAGTCCTCTGGACTTGTTCCAACCGTCCCATGTCCTCCTTGTGCTGGGGACACCAGAGCTTGTGCACAGCACTCCAGGTGGGGTCTCACAAGGGCAAAGTAGAGCAGAAAATCCCTTCCTTCAATGTGGTCCTGAAATAAGAAAAAAATGAGTCTCTAGTTGTCTCTGATAAGTACTCAGAACGTGCTGGTTGAAAGCTGCCTTTTTTTCAGGCGCATGAACATTTTCCCACTGACTTCAAAAGCACAATGAATTCTTGTCCTACGAATGAAAGGTGGAAAACATATTTCATTTCTTAATCTCTGTATTAGATTTTGATATTCAAGACTAATTCAGCTGTGGGTTACATAAATCTCAGATGTAGTGAATGAATTACTTGCCCTGTTCGGTTTTGTGATAGAGCACTTCTTTTAATCTGAGCAACACTGCCTTGGGTAAATTCAGTCCCTACCCTAGCTTTGGGAAGAGCACAGGATTTGTTGTACACAGAACAAAATCTACCTTTAACTGTGAGCAAAATACCACCTAGTGCAGAAACCAGAAAAAAACTCTTCTGAGTTTATAGCAGAGCTTGGCTTGGAGTGCTGGCAGATGGTTAGAGAAGCTGAATTCTCAAGCTGTATTCCAATACTCACCACCAACAGCATATTAAACTTGCTGCTAATTCCAAGGAAAGCAGAACTGTGTCCTTGGTTTGTGGTATTTACTTCTCTATGCCTTGGGGCATAATGAATGTACATAATGAAGCTCAACAATACAGAGAGACTGAATGAATATTCAAAAACCACATCAGGATCCTCACATGAAAACTCACAGTAGAAATGGAAATAGATTTTACTACTGACACACAGGGTTACTTTATACCTGGCTTTTCCATGTGTTTGACACTTTTCTGGAAGCAATGTGAAATCTATGGAAGAAGGTCTAGGTATTTTGAGGCAAGACTAGCCAGGGGATGGGAGCTTGGATTTAATTCTAATTTAATGAATCGTGAGACTGGCTGCTAGCCTAATTTAAGCACATCCTATTCTATAGGACTTGGTGAAGTAAAACTTGGTTTTCATCAGAGTCAGTAAGATCAGAATTACATTTCTCAAAGACTACTAAAACACTGGTGGGAGAGGGAAGGGTGGAAATACATATTTCTTTTCTGCACTTGCCACAGAGGCACAGTGCAGTGCTTACTGTAGGTATGTTAATTGGCTGTATATATTCAACACCTGCCTGAAGGTGTTCCTTGTTGGGTAAATGTAGAAGTGTAAGTAAGAATTTACAGGAATTAAGTCAAATTACATGAAAAGTAGCCTGGAAATTGTTCAAGTTCTCTGTCCAAACCAACAGAACAAAAGGGACAGCACAGCAATACCTCAGACTTTGCATTCATGCCTTCTTGTGCAATATGTAACAAGGCTCTTCACTACCCCTGCACAAATGATTCATCAGAAAGAGAGTTATCAATGTCCTTGTCCTCTTTAACAATCAATGAAGGTTAACAGAGCTTTTCATACTGCACTTGACATAAAATACCTAAGCCATTTATAATAAGTTTTTGTACGGTGAGAAAAGATATTAATAATGTCAAGCTATTATCTCTAAATGTGAAGTGGAACCAGAAACAGCATTAGAGACCGTGGAGTAATTTTCAAGTTTGTTGACAAAAAGGCACAGAGCAAATGGCACATGTGGCTTGAAAGTGTTTTATTTTGTTTGGGGTTTTGTCAGTGAATTTGAATAAATAGTAGAAGTAGTGATTCTCTATTTCTTCACCAGGTTAAAAGGCTCTCAGAGCTTCCTGGAGAAGGGCTCTTTGCTTTGCTGTACTTCAGGATAATTGCTGGCATGTTAATAGCTGTATTTTTAACAAGTTTGCAAAGTTATTTCCCATTAACTGCAGTTAAAGTTTAGGAAAGGAGCTGGATAGCTCTGGATGTGGGAGAAAATAAACAATGAAACATGGAAACACTAAAAAAGAGTTTGTCTGAAGTAAGCTTAGTCTACCTTTTATGTTTTGTTCCTGTTGGTATTTTAGCTCATGCTCACAATTTTTAAGGAGATATGTTGATGGAATTGTTTGACAATACAATTACAGTGCTGTCTGTCAAAATAAAGGAGAAAATAGGTCTGTGTAATTTCCTTTTTCCCAGTTGCTCAGTGTTCACTATGAAAAATGAGAATTAAATAACACATAATGCATGACTAATAAAAAGAAACCATACACAATGTGGTTATTTTGAAATCAGGAGGGTATTTTCAGTAATAAAAGACTAGCAGAATATGGGGAATTTAATTCAATCTTATCCTCATGCTTGCGAGATTTTTAATAAAAAGGCATCTTTTCACCTCAAAAATATTTATTTTGTTTATTAAATTTTTTATGACTTTATGTTCCCAAAGTCCTAAATGTTTCTTTGACAAAAGTCTCTTTTACTAATCAAACTATGACTTGCAGCTTAAAAGTTACATTCATCTACAAAATAGGTAAAACCCCACTATTTAGCTCTGCTTTTAAAAGTATGATGAGTTCTGAAACACACAAAGCTCTGAGCATCTTGAATGTCTGTCTCCAGGATATGAAAGCAGTGTCCTTGCTTAGTATGGAAGAGTTTAGCTTCAGGAAAACATAATTTCATTATGGATTTTCATAAGTCCAGCACTTAAAGGCAGACAACGTGTGAAAAGAGGCGAATGTCAAACAAGAACAAAGTGTGGGCAGAAAGGAGGAATCTTCTTTGTTCAGTTATTTAGGTTTTGCCCTTCTTGATTTAGAGCTGGGTGTATAAATGTCTGTCCTCGTTTATTATGCTACCAGGATTCAGTGACTGGAAACAGAATTTCTACATCTCTTCTGGAAAATGGTGTTATGCCTCATCCTTGAGACTGGCTAAAAGCATCGTGCAAATGGTCTGATACAGACTGGTCTGCCTTAAAGCATGAAATTATACACATTGGTACACTTAAATGGGTAGATTAGGTTATCTCTGTATTGGATCCAGTAGACAAGTCATATAAACCCTTCCATAGCTCTGCTTCATTGCTAAGTGGTTCTTAAGATGTTAGAGATTTAGAGGACCTTTAAAATGCTGTTATAATATAAATCAAAAAATGAATTAATTCATAATAATTACTATAATTATTTTTAATGTTGCAAAATTATCTTCTACTTATTCAGATAAGCTTAAACAGTCTGTTTACACTCTGTGGGATGTCCATGTCAGTGATATAAAATGCATGTGTATGTGCACAGTAATCAACACAAATTCTGATTTAACCAACATATATTGCTGTTAAATTAATAGTGCGGGATTGTCCTAATTGTCTCTTCCCTAGAAGATCCAAGCTATGTAGAGATAATAATTTTGCTATCAAATCTCTTTAATTATGTCATATATATTCATAGTAAGAAGTGAAGTGCTTTGAAGGCATATTAATATCCTCCTGAGCGTTAGGTCTAAGAAAGGGAACGCTCTTTAATGGAGGTCAGTATATTGTTTTTGTCAGGATTTAATGGTAGCTGGCAATACTTTTGAACAGCTGAAAAAAAAAATCAAAATAACCATGCAAATAGCTATTTTGTGTTTCTCCGCATTCATCTTGATCTCACATTTTGGTCGTGACCTTTATTTTTTGTTGTGCAAAATCTTCATATTTATTATCTAGTATATATGGGCTAAATTTCAGTAGTTTTGTCCTTGCCAGGCAGGTGCTGAATATGTTTGTCCTCTGATAAAGCATCATCCTCAGTGGTAGCTGGACGTGGATTTAGTATTTCCACAGCCAAAGCATTTGGTGTTCCTTTCACAAACTCTCCCAGGCTTTTGTCTATTTATGCATGTCAGGTGGCACTGGTCTGATGGACTCCCTACCTACATTTCTGTCTGAAGTGATGATAGCATTCTCTGGCTTCCCTTTTGATACAAGTGAGGGTGACATCAAGTTCAGGGACATTTTTCAAGTTACTGACATGTCTGCTTGAGTTTGGACTGGATTCTAAGAACAGCTGTTGTATCACGTAGATTCAGTGTCATTTTTTTACCTACACGGCATCCAAACCATGAATCTTTGGGTCAATGTCTAAATATTTTTTCTTACAGGGGTTTTGTTGTTCTTTACAAGCCTGTCTCAACGTCAGAATAACTTTAGCTTCCCTCAAACTTGGATAGAGTTTTGTATCAACAGGGAGAGAGCACAGCATTGGGTGTGTTAGAGGGTAAAAAAAAATTGCGATGTCATAGAATCAATTAATAAATCAGTTGTAAAACTCCTTAGTTCTCTGAAGATCACATTGAATTTCCTCGTGAAAGATAAGCAGCTGGTCTACTTGTGCAAAGCAAAAGTAAGCCTATTTATGTAGAGCAATTTTCTTCTTTGGATTACAAGTTTTCTAGTAAATATACTAAATATTTGTGGATTTAGCAAATACTTAACTCTGACCCATACCAATTTGGGATATAAGCAAAATTTTTTTGGTTTGGTGGTTGCTTTTTTATAAAAAGCTGTGAGAAGCATAAAAAAAATACTCAGTGGTTAGAACTGATGTTCAGGTACATCTCAACAACTCACACTCAACATTTATTTGAACTTGCAGATTAACTTTTTGAAGACTGAAATGGAAAGAAAGAGCAAAATGATCCGAGACCTCCAAAATGAGGTAAGAGGAACATTTGATTGCCATCTCCATTCAGATCTCATATTGAAAGCCACTGTTGTTTGGCTTCATATATAAAAATGAAATGGTATGAAACTGAATTTATTTTGAAATTTGACCTTGGAATAGAAACATAAAACATTTGAGCAGCATCATATTTCTTTTCCTCCTTGTCTTTTTCTTTGCAAACACCTTACCTAAATCAGGGTGTAGTTACCCTTTCCATTGCTTCATTTTGCAAAGTTCTTTGCACTTGAAAATGTGTTTTTTTACTTTATTCTTGTTCTCTTACATCTCTCTCTGTATATATACAATCTCAAAAATGCACACACTGACTTTTTAAGTCACAAAGGTATCCCAGTTTCAGCCAGGACAGGGCTGAACTGGGGAGTATTATTCCTAATTATTATTCCTGAACCACAACAAGAGGAATTGTCTCTCTCAGTTGCTCATGTCTTCATCTACACTCACAACCACCTTGCTCTCTTTTCCCACCTGTGGTCACTGGATGCTTTGCAACTGGGCCTGTTAATTCTAATAAATCATATCAGTCTCATCCTGTTGACCAGCCATAAAAAAATCTTGTCTCTTATTGCACATGAGTACATAAATAAATTCAAGCTGTCTGAATCAAGTGATTCTTTTATTACTACCCTGTCCAAGCACATTCACAAAAATAATTACTGGAAAAGTCTACACAAGTATTCTGCCTTTTTTTTTTTATTTTTTTTTCTAATTTAATCAAATTGTTGGAACTATTTCTTTTTTTTTCTTTTTCTTTTTTTTTCTTTTTCCTTTTTTTTTTTCCTTTTTCTTTTTTTTATGATGTCATCTTGCAAGATGTTCTGAGAGCTGTAGGAAAAGATTGCAGGACGCTGTTTATTCTGCACTTATTTTAGGAGAAAAAAAGAGTAGTAACTGTGATTAAAGATGTATGTTTATACTCCTAGCACACCCTGGAAATCACAAACTCCAGCATTTTGTTCTTGGCTCAGTCAACTAAACTTGTCTTGAGAGAAATTTGATTTTAGAGCATTGCTTAGCCCTGTCCATCAGTTACAGTGTGGAAAAGGAACCCAAAGCTATACCTAACTAACGGCTTTCTGTCAAACTTCTATACCATGTTTGCCAGTTCCCTAAAACTAAGCACTAATATCAGTTTTTCTGAAATTAAATTAAATAATTCTGAGAAAATATGTTATCTAGGTCCTGCCTCCAACCACATTGCTTTTAAAAACCTGTTTTCTCAGATTGGATATGCTATATATTTAAGTAACTGATAGCATTTTATAAGTAATTTTTGAAAGTGCTGCCTGCATAGAGATATATAGAGACAGAAAATGAAAGTGAAATAGCTGCTCTTGTCCTTTCAAATATTGCATTCACCCTCAGTTTTTACTGCCAAACCGTGAATTTTGCAATCTCGGACTCTTCCTGCAAAAATGATTCCCTGTTTAGTCCTGTTCTTTCAGCACATGCCCTTCTGCCATTCAGCTTTGCCATTTGGAGGTATGAATAGATGACATCCCAGCTGAATGCAGCAGCTGTGATGTGTGAGGAGAGGACATTGCACAGAAAGGCAATTTTCAGGCTATTCAAGGGCTTTGAGGGAAAAAAAAAAAAGCTGAAAACAGAAATAGTCTGTGGTATGGAGGGGAAAAAAAAAGTGCCAGATAGAGGGAATAGAGATCATGTGTCTAGAAATCCTTCCTATTTTAGAGGTCTCTAAGTACTTCCTGCAAATACTAGGAAACATCTGTCAGGTTTCCAGCTGCAACATCGTGTGGTTTGTGTTAATGTGGTCTAATAAAAGTTTTGGCATGTCAATAGGTAATACTTCTTATTTTGAGAGGCTTCTATTATTGACGAAGCAACCGAGAAAGTCTGAAATTGCAGAAGCGCGGGGTGGAGCTGAGAAGCTTGGCCAAAAAAATGCAGAGGAAATTAGAACAGGTATTTTAAAAAAATCACTTTGAAAATCTGAACTTTTGGAGGTGGCCTGCTACAGGACGAGAAAGTCGCTTCTGTGCAGGAAATTATGCCAGAAGTGCTCTAGAAACAAAGCTGCAGCAGGATACTCTCTTAGCCCTTGTTTCTGTCAGGAGAACCACGAGTCTTCACAGTTGCCATTTGACACTCAGAAATGATTGTTTTGGTGCAACTCTGAATGTGCATGTAAATATGGATTAATTTCTTAAATGAATGATTTTTTTCTCTGTTGAAGGGTGTAGCGTATTTTATTAGTTTGTTATTGATTTCCTACCTCTTCTCTACTGAGCAGTAGAGAACTGTTATTCAGGTTTTCACATGGACACTAGAGCTGTCTCACCTTAGACTTAGAAATGTGTATCAAATTGCTCTTATTTAAGCCATTTAATTACGTTTTATTAGATAAGGACTGGCTTGTCATATCTGGGCAAACTGTTTTATGATATTTCTGTGAACATATACACTAAGGTATGTTAATAGCTTTACAGACTTACAACAATCCCATGTATTTATAAAGTTGATGCAGTGTAAACATGAATTACACAGAAGATGTATAGTAGTACAGGCAATACGAAGCAAACCAGGAATGGAAAATTAGTTACTAACTGCTGTAGCTCTCAGTAATGTGTGGTTGTTTGTTTTGTTTCTTTTTTTTTTTTTCTAAGAAGCACAGTTTTAAATCACAACCTTGTAAACAATACTTCTGCTCTATTCTTATATAAATTGTGGTTATGGCTTTATTGTCGAGTAAATCATCCTACACCAGCCTTTTCTCCAATTTCTCTGTTCTTAGCTGCACTGGTAAAGGATAAAGTCACAGCAGCATAAAGTCTCACCTGATGTATTGGGAATTTCATGCCCTGTAGGAAGAATTCGATTGAATTGCATTGAATTATGGTGGGGACAAAAAAAACCCCAAGAAACGTCCCTTAGTGAAGCAGAAATTAAATTCTGAGGCTTTGAGACTGTATCCTGATTCTGTTCTATAAAGGAGGACATTGTAGTTCTTCAGTCTTCGTGCTCTGCAGATAAAACTAACTTTTTTTCCCCCCTAAGTATAAAATCCTGCCTCCTTGAGAAGAAAATGGGGTAAAACCCTGGGCCTTCCTTGGGTGCCGGGTTGGTTCTACAATTCAGGAAACTTCCCCAAGTGTCAGAGGCAGGAGCACTGCCTAGGGAAGGGAGAAGGAGCAGGAAGGGTGCAGGAGCAGCTGCAGATATGTTCTGCTGAAGGGCTTTGAATTCAGTGCTATTTCTTGACTGATTACATCTTCTTTTGAAGTAAAGTGAAGTCTAATTTTAAAAAATGATTTTCTTAATATTCTTTTATGACTTTTTTTTTCTTTTTTTTTTCTGAATATGATAAGGAAAGAGTAGAAATGCAATTCAGTCAGTTGGAAATGGCTCTTAGGGGGCAGCATATGAGATCATTCAGAGAATCAATCCTACTGCATCACGATTGTCAGTGAGATATATTTGTAGTGATCCAGTAGCAACTGCAGTGAATGTTAGAATAAGTTCTGTTTTTATGAGCTTCGTTTTCCCGACCTTGTAGACACAAGAGAGTAGGACACATTTTCTCACTTGGCTGTTGAGTGAGAATCAGAATCAGAGCATCAGTTATGGGAATGCAATGGAGCTGCTCTGCCTGGACCCCACTCTCCTAGGTAGGGACCATTGTATTTTTTTGGTTCTTTATTCATTTTTTGCATTTAGACACAGGCTTTAAAGATTCACATTTGTGAACTGCTAGAAAGTGGAGATATTCCAATGAGAATGTTTAGGTAAAATGCATCCTTAAACAAATGAGAAGATTAAAAAGTCAAACCTACACTTACTAGGGCTCTCTTTTTATCTGGTACTTAACCACAATGTTTAGAAAACTTGACTGCTTGGATTTTTCCCAATATTTTATGTCTGTTGTCTGCAGTGTTGAAAATCATAGCAGTTTTCATTAGTGATCAGCCAGTCTTTTCTCATGCTGCCTAGGAAACTAATAAATTCTTATTTCTGATATCCTACTTCGTTAAGTCCAAAATTCATAAATTGAATTATTTTTTTTCTCATTATTCATCTGGTCTCAAACCTGTTTATTAGTAGACATTTTTGTCCCTGAAGCTTAGCCTTCTTCAGTTGTTATTTGTTGTTCAGTTGTCATTTTGTTTCCTGTGCACCGAGCTCTTACCAGCTGAGCTAGAAGTGTAACCAGCATATGGCTGAAATGAAAGGTCAAGAATAGAAAGTCCTAGTAGTTCCTTTGCTACCTCTTGTTTCGAAAAAAGAAAAGCAACAAAACACAAAGTATAAGAGATTACCTTGAGTAGTAAAGTTTAAAAGGAGCTGTATTTTCTCCTTTGCGCACCCAGCTCTCAAGGAGATCTCTTGCAGCGTCACTAAGCAACGGGGGCAGCCTGAAGCCTAATTAAAATCTTAGATCTTTGAACTTGCCCAGGAAGTTTTGTGAATCTTAAGTGTCATCCAAATCGGTGTCTTGCAGCATTTCAGATCTCATGGGTGAGGTGGCTCAGAGCCAAGCTCCGGGGAACTTGAGGCGTAGATGAAATTTTATAATTAATGAAAAACTTCCCCTGGAGCTAGGGTAAATTTTTTGCCATAACTGGGAAAGAAAAATGCTGATCTGATTTATTCATGTTAGTCAGACAAGTGGAAAAGTTTGCTTTTAAATGTTAAAATTGCCTAGTGGGAAACCCACTCAAAAGGAAGTAATAGTGGTATAAAAACAGTGGTTAAAAGAAAGGATGTAAATTGATACTTCAAAATAGGCATTACTGATGTTTATGCTAAGATGAAATAATAAAAGGGCCTTTAATAAGCAGAATTTCTATGGTTCATAAAGCAAGAGAAGATGAGCTGTTGGTTTTCATCGTTACAAATAACGCTGTCAACTACTGATGTTTGCCACTTCCTATCAAAAAAGAAGAGCTCAAGTAATCCAAATTCACTGCTAGAATGCTCTTTGCCTCTGATAACACCACACAGTACTCAACAGCATA